ACCCACCCCCAGCCACATTTCGGGAGTGACCCTGTGCAACCCCGGCTTCCCCAGTTTGCGGTGCAGGCGGTGTGACTTGGGGCAGACGGATGAACACAGCACTACCCGCTGTTCCTATTAACTAATAACAGTAAATTAAGGAGAGCCATCTTCATTCTCCTTGGCACTCCTGAAGTCGGGTGGGTCAGGATCACCCCCCCGAAGGGCAGAGCGATTCTCCATGGGCACACAATGGTTGGGAGGCAGAGGAGACCCCGTGGCGCTGGGCTGCAGATGGCAGGGAGCAGGTCCGGATGCTCGGCATGGCTGCCCCGGTGGTCACTGGGGATTGCTCACCCTATCCCTGGGCTGGGAGTGGGCCCCTCGCCCTCCCTGCACCACCAGCAGCTCCGGACCCCACAGCTGCCCTCACCCTGCGTACTCTGGGGCTGCATCATCCCTGGGTGAAATCTGGGGGTGCTTGCGGACCCCGATCCTGAGCTGGGCTGAGCCCTGGGGCTGCCCTGGAAGCAGGGCGCTGCCTCACACCCTCCTCACCCTAAATCCTCCTCACCGCTTCCCTGCCCAGCCACATCTCCCTGGTTCACTCCCTGCTCCTAAGCCAATTTCCTCCAGCTCAGAAACTTTATTGCCCCCTCTGTAAGGAATATACGGCGTCTTTTTAACATAAAATAAAACTCTAAAGCAAACAATGAAGTTTCAATAAAACAGAGAAGCCCGCGGGTCTCCAGGCCCCCCTCTCCCAGCTGTATTAGCAGCTCTGCTCATGAGAGGGCGTGCGGAGCCCGGCTCAGATGGCTCCAGCGGGGAGAAACATGCTTTATAGCCGCCTGTTGTCATCTAACGTGAACCCTCCTGCTGGATTATTTATTTATGTATTAGACATGGATCAAATTGGTTAAATCCGAGTGAGAGGCAGTAATGCACAATAAAGCAGCCGGCGCTGGATACGAGGGGGCTGCGTGCACCGTGGCCTTCCAATCAGGAGCCAAAAGGTGCCATTTTATGGCTCCTAACGATGGCAGAGCCCAGTTAAATGAATCCCCATTAAAGGAATAGACCTTCTCAAAGTATAAAACATTGGTGTGAGCGGCTTTACTGGGTCCCTGCTGCTCACTGTATGACCGCCTGGCGCAGGCATTTAACGAGAGGAAGGGTCTGAAATAAGTTGGAGAGTCACCTTGGCTCATCCTTGCCTTCCAGCAGGACACAGTGTATGTGACTGGAGGGAGCGGGGCTGTCACCGGGACATTGCCTGCCCTTTTCTTCAGCCTTCCTATAGGAGGTGGGGGAAACTGAGGAACGAGGGACAAGTCAGAGCAGGCCAGTGCTATGGGGCATCCCCTACCTCCCCAGCTTCTCCAGCCACGGAGAGCTCTCCCATTTGCAGAGCCAGGAGGAAAACCCAGCCAGTCTCTTCTCCAGACTTGGACCGCTCCCGACAGCTCCCGGGCAGAGCCCTGGCAGACCCCAGGCACCTCGGCTCCTCATCCCCACCGCCCTTCTGCTGGGGAGGACACACTGTGCAGCCCGTGCAACTGGGAACATCTTCCCCTCTCCTCCTTCCCTTGTGTTTAAATAATGCCCAGAACCCAACCCAAACCCAAACAACCAGCTCCCGCTGACCCTTGCGGGAAAGGTCGGCATTTCAGTAATTCCACCTTCCTCTTGGAGCTTTTCCACTTTTGTATAGCGGGGGCCCAAAATAGCCCAGGAGCGTTCCCGACCACCTGCTATTTATAACCCCAACTTCGCAGCAAAACAATGGAGCTGTCTGAGTCTCCCTCCCAAAATAAACAGGCAGCCTTTGAGCGGACGGGAAATCCTGCTGGATCCCCGCTGTGGGGTGTGCAGATGGACGGGTAAACAGGCTGCCCTCCACCCTACTGTGCCGCATCCCCGCTCCCAGCCCAGGCCACTGCCGTGGGGCCCACGAGCTCCCCCCGCCTGCCACCCACAGCTTGGGCTGGTGGGACAGGGATGCTCTTGGCAGCACCGGAGGGTGAACCAGAGGTTGAGCACCCCCGGGTCTCTGCTCTCCAGGGAGCCCAGGGGTGTTTGTTTGCTGGGGGAGGTGATGGAGAGTGCTGGACCACAGTGCTGGGATGGGCAGCCTCGGACCAGGAGGTGCAGCTGAGGCCCTGCCTGGGGACCAGCTCTGTGGCACCAGGCTGGTAGCTTTTTTAACCTCCTGCATGCCCAGGTCCTTGCTCCCTGCTTGTTCTTCAGGGCTTTTCCATGGGGTGCATGTTCCTAAAGCAGAGGTGACTTTGGATTTTCACAGCCCGAGCAACCGGGAGGGATCTCAGGCCATAGGAAGGCCTTGCTGCCTTCCACGGCCACTCCCAACCCCAGTCCAGGCCAGCATGAGAAATGAGCAGCAATGGCCTTACCCACCAGCTACACCAACGATACGGCGATGAATTCCTGCCAAGGAAGGACGTGACAGCCGTCACCTTGCATCCCCGTGACAGCAGGGGAAGATCCCCTTGCTCCAGTGAGCACTGGAGGCTGGTGCTCACGCCGAAGCAAGGGCTTCCAGAGGGGCAGAACAGGGACCCGGACACGCAGCCAAGTCCCTGACATACAGATTGCAAAGCAGGAGACAGAAGGAGCCCTGGCTTCTGGCCCAAGGGGCTGACAACTGCGCTTTTGCAGGAGCAGGGCTAAGTGTGAGTGACAGGCAGAAGGGAGGGATCATCTCCCGTGCCAGCAGGACACCTACGCAAGCCTCCCCAGATCTGCGAGACCCGCTGCATGCCCGCAGTGCCACAGAGGCTGCCGGCGGATGCGTCTCCCCAAATCAGCGGCGGCCACATCCGCAGCGTGCCCCGGAGCCCAGCACATGCCCACGCTGTGGTGGTGTCTCAAGCCGGGCAGTGGTACCCAGCTCCGTGGCGTAGGATGTTGGGTTGTGGGGAGGGAGAGGATGGGCATCGTGAGTCCTTAGGTTTCATCTGTGAATGCAAAGGTGGAGGGAGACGTGTACATCCCGCCTCTCCTCTCCACAGCAGGGGCATCCTGGTACCCATGAAAAAGCAAAGGATGCCGCACTGTGTGTGTGGCTGGACCATGCTGGGGTGTAGATGCTTACCCCGCTCGAGGGAGCAGAGGGCATTGATTTGCTCAGGGCAAAATGAAGGGTCCAAACCCCGAGCGGGCTGGACCCGCGCTTGCCCCAGCAACGAGTGCTCCCCGCTCTTCCCTCCCTGCCCTGTGCCAAACCTGCTCCTGGGAGCCCCTGAATGGCTCTTTTCAGGCTTTTGTTTTTTGGCAGCTGTGTTTTTGTTTTCTTTGCCCCTCTCTCTCCCCTTCACTCTCTGGTTACTCGGTAGGCTCAGCTCCAGTGTTTACCCTCCTCGGCTCTGCCGTGCTTTCCCCACTGCCGACCCCCCGCTCGCCAGTGCCAGAGAGATGAAAAGGCCTTGGTGCTCCCGCTGTTTGCATGGTCTCCTGGGCTTCGCGGAAATGTTTAACTCCAAGTGTTGAAACTGAATATTTCCTGCTCTGAAAGCAGAGGGCTCGATGTGCAGACATACCCCTGCATGGAGGAATTTGTCCACGGGCTCCGTCGGAGGGCATCTGCAAACGGATCCCAGCCCAGGTGGGGACTGAACCGAACCTGCCTGATCCCGCTGGGGATCGAGGGCCAGATCCTGCCCTCAGTTTCACCGATATGGATCCAACGTAATTCCCTGAGTCAGGTATGGTTCACCATGAAGTGACCGCTAATGGGACCCAGGCTCTGGGCTGGGAGCTGGGCTCAGGTACCAGCAATGCACACGTGGCACCTAACAGGCATGAAGGCATGAAGCCATCCCTGCTCCCACGCTGTGTCTGTGCTCTGGGATGGAGGGCTGACAGCACCACGAGGCATTTGTGGGCCAGGACTGGGTCACTTGGAAGGGAGAGCTTTCCCCTCACAAGCAGAGTGGGAAATGCTGTTTTGGAGAGCATTTAAGTGAGGAAAAAAGGGACTCTGCCTGCCAACAGCCATGACAGCACGTGGTTTTTACTTCCGAGAGCATTTAAGTGAGGAAAAAAGGGACTCTGCCTGCCAACAGCCATGACAGCACGTGGTGTATACAGTCCCTTGTCACTACACAGCACGGAGTAAATGATGCTCCTAAGTCACTCTGAATGAGCAAAGTTTACAAGGTGTGAGGGCCCGCTCTGCCCAGGAGCTCAGCAAGTTGCCAAATGAATGAAATAAATTGTTTATAATTCAATTGCTGAGCTCTGCTGATGGCTTATTGCGCAGCCAGGTGCCTCCCCAGGGGCTGCCACCGTGGGTGGCACAGGCAGCGGCAGCGGGTAGGGAGCACTGATGGGGACACATTCCCCGCTGGGGATGTGCTCGCTCTTTCCTAATGGCCCTTCACTGGGCAGACCCCAGGGCATCTGCCCAGGTTTTGGGGCATCTTCTCCCCACGCTGTCCTTCCTCGCAGCCATCTGAAACTTGCCCCCGGGAGGACAAGCTCTTTTCTCCCAACTCCTGATTTCTCCTATCTCAAACTGTTTTCCACTTGTCTGAGTACCAAACTCCCCCTCCTCTGAGATGCCTCCC